ACATGTTCACTTCTCACAAAGTACTCAGTACCTATTTCTATTAAGTCAGCCTGATAGATAAGCTTCAAAAGACCAAAGTAACTTATTAATGTAATGTTTCCTCAGCATGCCAGTAAATTCTGCAGGAAAGTGAGTAAGAGAGTGACAAATAGCAAATACTGCTCTTAAAGCTTCTGGGAGGAGGTGTGAGATTCCTGTTAATTCTATCATCTCTCATCTTTTTTCCTGTATTTTATAAAGTAGTTCTCTCTGTCAAAGGCATATAACAAAGTGTGAAATTTGATCTCTGTACCATTACATGGTTTATTAGCCATATACAAAAAGGAATAAACTCAAAGCAAATCACTTCGTAATGCTATTAAGTTATAGCAATTGCATGAAAGCACCTAAAATAGTCTCAGTAGGATCTGGGACCCAGGCAGAACTTCTGTCGAAAATAAAACACAGGGCCTCCATGGCTCAAGAGTTAAGTCTCAGCACTATCTGGAGTGACTGCAGCAAGAGTTCGATTTCCAGCCAGGGAGCTGACCCACATGGTGTGGCAGACCTCTCCTGCCCCGCCTGCTGCTCCCCTCAGCAGTATATTTCAGTACATCTGCCTATTCTGCTCCCACTCTATCTCTGGTGAATCCTCTCATCCCCCTAAACCTCTGACTTGTACCCCATTTCTGTGTGCATAAATAAATAAAACTTAAGTTATTCCTCCACAGAAATTAAAGTTGAGATTTAGTCTCACTTAAAAAAAAATAGCCCCACTAGCATCCTGATTTAAACAACAGATTTAATTATTACAATCTGTTAATTGATGGAGTAGATTTCTAGCTTTCTACTCCTCTTTTTCTGCCTTGTAGGTCCTGGCGGATATATTCATTCGCACCATCCCTCCCATACACCTTCTATCGAAAGCGCTTCAAAGTGCTTCAAGGAAACACCAATGAGTTTCCTAACTTTACTACCCTAAAGAAATGAATAGACTATACAGAAATGGGATTCTAACCTCCTGATGTTGTTTCACAAAGTGTAAGGAGTGCCTTCCTAAAGAATCTTGATATCTGTTTCAAAAAGATGAAGAGACATAACAGCGGCCAAAATGATAGGTTCCTAAAGTAATACCCAGGGAGAATGGACCCCACAACTCCTCCAGGTCTGTAGGTCCCTTATTCTGTAGGTCCCTTTACAACACATTCAGAACCAGCAGCCTCTGGCTAGGATGCTGACCTTGACTGACCACAGGAAGTTTCTATTCCCAGAAAAAATCTCAACATGCTTTCTTTTCTCCTGGAGTGGGGCAGGGGAGAGGAGGAGTGTAACAATGTTTTTTCAAAAGAAGATATAATCTATTTTAATCCAATTTGGATTCCTTCCATATCCCCAGCAGTACAAAAATAAAACCTAAAAACACACATTTAAAATAAACCAAACTGACAGGTCATTTTGCTTAATGAAGAAGTTCTAATTGTAGTTTTCTCTGATTACAATATTAACCGTGTATTCCATATATGATCTGTGCTATTCTTCAAGAACATGACTGCTTCATAAAACGTAATCAAGACGAGAATTCTGAGTTCCCCTTATTTATAGTGCCCACAAGTTTTGCCATTTTTTGGGGGGGGGATGGCGGTCACTGAATGCTGAGGTCAAAGCAGGATGTCTGATTCTAGGAAGCTCTGCTGCACTTGTGTGAGCTGCAAGCTAATTTAGCTGCTTAAAAAAAAAAGATTTATTTATTTATGTATACAGAACTGGGGTACAAGCCCGAGGTGCAGGGGCGGTGAGAGGATTCACCAGAGGCAGAGTGGGGAGCAGAACTGGCAGATCGAGAAGTACATTGCCAGGGGAGCAGTGGGCGGGTCAGAAAAGGTCTGGTGCCATGTGGGTCACCTCCGGAGCTGGGATTGAACTCGTGCTGAAGCGGCCACGGCTAGCTTCTTAGTGCTGTGCTTTAACCTGATTCACCACCAGGGAGGGCCCTAATCTAGCTGCTTTTAGTGTAACATTATTTTGACATTTACGAATATAGGCAAACTGTGGTAATTCAGACATGGGTATTTTGGAGACATTTCCCAAATACAAATGAAGTGACCCTGTCTCAAGAATTTCAAGTGAAAATATGGATTTTTAGAAAACTTGTCTCTTCCTAATGCGTTTGACTGTTTCCATGTATTTAAAAACCTTTGCTGAGATTAGTGGTAATATTAGGGGAAAGACATTTTGATAATGTATAGTGAACATCCGGAAATTTTGCAAATATGATGAACATTTTATTTTTTCAAATTATCAATGTAAATTATAATAAAAATAGGCATACATGAAAAGGTGCACGTGAAGCATAAAACAAGCTGGTGAATTTTAGTATGATAAAGAACAAAAAGTTTAAAGGTGTAGTTTTGAATACCACATTTCAACTAATCTTTTAAGAATATACCACTTGTGGATTTTGGGTGTAGTATTAAGGGAAAACATTCATAATTCTTTCTAAAAGTCATTATAATATTCTACATCCCTTTCCTAATTTCCTATTTCAAATACCATATTTTCTAATGTACTTCAAAAAAAGTGATATATCATTACAGACTTAGACAGAATGCTGATACAGAGATGAAGATCCAGCTGTAGTCTATTAAACTGGACATTAAACAGACCTGTGAGAATCCTGTTTTGTGAATTATTTTGCTTAGAAAAATAGCTACTTTTAACTTAATATGTGTTATTTATATTAAAATATAATGCACTGTTATTTTATGATAATTATCTATAAGTAATTAATAATGGCTTCCTGTCTCAATTTTAGTGTCTAATACTAGAAATGCTAACATATATAATTCATGTTGGCAAAAAAATTTAGGGGACTAGTAATTTGGGAGGATACTAATTCTTTTTTAAGAGAAGAGCTGCTTTATATTTTTATATCTTTTAACATACACATAAGTATATTTGCAATCGTGTGCAATGTCACTACTTGATTATTTGAAGAAATAACAGCAATAAACTGACATGAATGATTATAATCACCCAATCTTCATCTTACTTGCTCATCTAAAATATTCACTTTCCAGCCTCCCTTGCAGCTAAGAGTAAATGTATATATCTAATTTCTGCCTGTGAGAAGTAAGCAAAGTGTTTATGTGATAATTTTGAGAAGCGCCTTTAAAAGGAGCAGGTAGGTCCCTTCCTAATGGCACAATGGGTTAAAGCACAGCACTATGAAACTATCTCCAGCCATTGCAGCACCAGTTTGATCCCTGGCCAGGATGGCTACCCACATGGCACAGCAGATCTCTTCTCCCTTGCCCACTGTTCCCCTCAGCAATGTACTTTGTCAATCTACCTGTTCTGCTCCCTGCTCTCTCTAGTGAATCCTCTCACCCCCCACATCTCTGGCCTGTATCCCAGTTCTTGTATGCATAAATAAAGAAATCTTAAAAAAACAATAATATAAAAGGAACAGGCTTTCTCTCCCCTTCCACCACAGTGCTACCTGTGGTGGCTACCTGATAGTGGTGGCTACCACTCTGGCAGCTATTTTGGAACATGAGGACAACATATGAAGAAGAGCAAAATGAAAGGAATCAGATTCTGAACGTCATAGGGCCCCTGTACCATCCCTGGACCACCTCCAGCTGAACTTCTTTTATAAGGGAAATAACGATCTTATGTGAAACATTATTTTCCTGGTACTGCTACTATATGTGTGGTCAAATCTAATCCCCAGAAGCACAATATTGAAGGAAAAATGCTTTCCATAAACATTTTGAGGTTTCCAAATAGTTTCTCAGACCCCCTAAAAAAAAGTTTCCTCCATTAACAAAATTACAACAGAGCAACAATTAACTGGTCCACAATATTTCTCAAAGAATGCATTACTCTAACAATCAGGTTGTGAGCCCTCCCTTGCTGCATGAGTTAAAACTCAGCACTATGGAACTATTAGCAGCCACTGCATGTCACAAATTCAATCCCTAGTCAAGGTGCTGACCCACATGATGCAACAGATCTCTCCTGTCTGCCCACTGCTCCCCTTAGCAATGTATTTCAGTAGATCTGCCTGTTCTGCTCCCTACTCTGTCTCTGGTGAATTCTCCCACCCTCTGCACCTTATGTTCTATACCCCAGTTAGTTATGCATTGAAAAACCTTTGGGGGAAAAAATCCAGGTTTTATTAATCTGAAAAATAGTAGAGTTGGTCAATAAGAGCCTAATATAGTAGAAATAATTCAGCAAGAGTCTGCTGGTTTGTTGGATGTTGGGTTTTTTGTTTGTTTGTTTGTTTGTTTTTAAGTTCAAAAGTAATCCAGATCTTTTCCATGGGTTCTGGCAAAGAATAATAAATTTAGAATTATGGGAAAATATTACATATTCATCATCAAGCCAGAAATCTTCTCAAAAATACATTTTACTTTATTGGAGTTGAAGTATTAGGCTGCTCTTTTAGCCAACTGACCAATGTTCAAACAACTCGAGGTAAACTCCTCAGCAAATGAATAAGTTGGCTGATCAAAACATGAATAAATAAATTATCCTAAGCTTAAACATGCCACCTGTAGTTTTTCTAAGTGTCAATCGTATCTCTAGTCATCACTTAAAGAATTAATGTCTGCCAATGTTATCGTCTAGAATATATTTACAGAGGTCAGAAGAGCTACGTCTGTCCTCTACGCAGAGGTGATGACATCAAGGGGCGTATGTCACAGCCTAAGTTTAGTTAGAGGCTTTAAGCTGGTTTGTACTAAGTATCCACTAAGTATGCTCCTCTGACCCCTCGGTTTTACAACTTTCCACTCTCTATGATGCATAGCACCTCTCCACTTCTGAGTTAATCATTTCTTGACCATTATCTGCCAAGAGTTCTTATCTCTTTTGCTGTCACTTTATAACAGGGTCCTCTTATCAACCTGCATAGTGTCATGTGATCAGAGCAAACCTATCAAAAGTTTCCATTCTTCTGATTAGAAACCATCACGAAACTGGATACATGGTTTACAGCAGGTCACCAATGCTGGAAAAAGTACAGAGTCCAGGGAAAGACTTACTTGTTACTTTCTGAATTCTTGATTTTTTTTTTAAGCTTTTACTTACTTTCACTAAGGGTTACTGTAGTCTGAAGGGTCCTCCCAAAGGCCACAACATTTGACAAGCTGCATTTTTTCTTATGCTCAATGATTTCTTCTTTAAGCAAAACGACTGCCTTTAATTTCACACAGAATGTCTTCTAATGCAGACACGGGGAATTTACAAGAATCTTTAAAGCACGGACTTACACCTATTGGTAAGTAGCTGCTTTATTTATCACCTATTTATTATTCTAAAACATGAATGCGTGTAATGTAGTCTCATTGATGTATCTGGTATTTTAAGTCATTGTTTTCCCTGTTGTGTTTATTGAAATCACATCAATTCATGTGTATATCACACATTTGAAGTTCAAAACAAAATCAAATGCACAATGCCAAACATCATTCAATATAGACACTCATCTGGGATGTCATTGTATTATTAGCATAAAACAGAAACTAGAATGCATAATATATCTATTTCATCCCTAATAATTTCTGATAATTTTTATCAAAAATAACATGCTAAAGCTTTGATTAACTTGAAGCAAGTTAACCATATGGAATGATCATTGGTCAAACTTTAAGAGAAAGCTTCCACATATGTGTGAAGTTTCCAGCCACACCACAGTGTGGTGTTTCATTCATTGCAAACACTGTAGAAAACCTTTTTTGCTTTTCTGGCAAATAAAAATTTTGCAAAAAATCAGAACATTCCAAGTTACCACCTAATTTTCAAAACTAATGAGCCTGTCTTGTTATTATAAACATAAGTAAGTAGAGCTAATTTTCACTTACAAAAAGAACCAAAAATGGAGTCACAGACTTGATAGTTATACAGCAAGACAAGAATACATTCAGTTAGTCTGAAGAGTAGATCATTGAAGGGCAGTGGTTCCCAGCCATCGGTAAGCATAGTCTGTGAGCTCTTCTCCTCTCTCCTGGTTACCGAAGGACCCACGTCTCTTCTCATAGCTTTGGGACTGGAATTTCCCTGCGGATTTGCAGAGGCCTGTCATGAGCTCTAAAGCTGTTAAAGAAGGGAAATCAGCGCGTGAGGCTTTGTCTGGCCCACCTTCGTAGCAGGCTGACTTCACTGAACGCAATGACTGTTGGCGGTTTTTTGGTTTTTGTTTTTGGCTTTTTAATGGGCCAACTACACCCTAAAGTATATCATTGAGGAAAAAGTTCCCAAAAAATAATCTATACTCACGAAAAAGACTACACAGGGCAGGCAAGAAGAGCACAGCAGAGAATCAATAGCTCTGCAGATAAAAAGAAAATACGGAACAAGAAAGGAGTTGGAAGGGACGCACGCACAGACCGACTTCAAATCTCCTGCCCAAATCGCCCCGGTGCGTGGCTAAGAGCCCCCAGCCGGGAGCTTAGGCGCTGAGCTTTCTCTCCGCCTGGCGTCTGGGGTTCGCCGCGGGAGCGCGCTCGAGCTGGGGACGCGGAAGGCGCGTGCCCCGTGTGCAGAGCGCTTGGAGATTCGCTCCCGCGCTGGGAGCGAGGACGCCAGCCGCAGCTCTGGTCTGGTGCAGTCGGGCTGGGGACTGCAAATTAAGAAGCCAGTGGGGATTCTAGACCACACACACTGACCTCCCAAAGTGTCCCATCCCTGGGAGTCCCTCCGACCTCGGAATGAATTAAAGCATGTAAGGGAAAGAGAGGATACTCCTCTGCATTTCACTTTGCTTCCGCAAATGCGTTTCAGCGCATTTCACTGACCATACTGGTGCTCAGCACCGGCTTTCCTGGGACAGAGGCGGTTCCATACAGAGAGTAAATAACAACCACAAGTATGGGAATGGCGGGGCTCCAGGTCTGCCCCCAAGGGACTGCCAGACTCAGAAGCTCAAAAGAAAAAAAAAAAGTACCTAAGAAGGTCCTGGGGAGTTTGCCCCTCACCCTGAACCTGTCCGGGCTCTTCTGAGTGCCAGAGCCCTGGAAGACAAAATCTCAGTCAATTTTCCAGTCAAAGTGACCTCTTTTTGGATTTAGCTTGCAGCCCTCCCCTCTTTCCGGCAGGGATTGCAGCTCCATCAGTGATTGTGAGGTGTTCCCATTTGCAACATTTTAGTCACCCAGACAGGCCTGTTGACATTGAGAGTCCAGCCTTTCTCTAGCTGGAGAGACTCACAAGAGGGTAAAAGGAGAGAAAGAGCGGTGGTGGTGGTGGTGGTGTTGGGCGGGGGTGGGGGTTCGTGGGGGTGTGTGTTTGTGAGGAAGGGAGGGCTGCCATCACTGAAGCCTGTCTCTTGGCAGCAGGGTCTTTCTGCGACTGCCACTCCTCAGAGCAGGCCACTGAGGAGACCCAGAGACGCATCTGCAGAGTGCCTGAGTGCCCAGGGCAGCTTGGAGACGAAAATATGAGTTGGGATGGGAGTAGGAGGTGGTTCACAAACTTGAGTCCACTGTATGTAGAGAACAATACTGAGTGCCAACTCTACATTCATTCCATTGTGTTGTTGTAGAAAATGGGCTCTGCTTATTAAATAAGTTGTCTCTGTGGATCCTAGGTGGGCCAACATAGTTACATGATAACTGTAGAAATGTCTGTGCTCATATAGACAAGGGGAATTAAGGTAGTTATTCTTTCTACCTAGCTGAAGATCATCCTCCATTGTGAATAAGAGCAACAGATTCATGATATTACCAAATTGTTTCTTTAAAAGTGAAGTAGCTTTGGTACAGATTCTTGGTATCTGGCTTAGGATTTTTATTTCTCTCAAATGGGGTGATTTTCCAGAATGATATCTCTTTTAAGTACTAACTTAAAAGAGACAGAAAGAATAAATTACCCATGTATATCAACAAAAGAACCAGATTTGTGTGCCAGACAATATGTCATACAGCTATTTATTGACATTCCCCTCCCTGTAATGTGCCCAACATTGTCCTTTGACATGTATTTTATATAATTCTCTAGGTAAAATGCATTTATAGAATACATTATACAATTCGATATAAAATGTATTATCCACTGGAAGTCATAGCTGCAAAATTAGGGGTAGATAATGCACAAAGCAAGCACTGTATTAAGACTGTGAGGTCGGTTCCTATCTGGTCCCCTAAACAATCTTGGAGTCTGATTTTATTCCAGCAAGCTCTGTGCCCATAGGATCTCCCCAAAATAACGACACAGTGGAAAGTGAGACAGCCTGCTCTGTACCCAGCTTTATTCGTGGTGCAGTGAGACTACCAGTCACCCAAGCCCATGGTCTGCTCTTGCTGCTAGGGTGGGCCAGCCAGGCCATTCTGGGAGGCTAACTGAGGTGTCTCTTCTACTCCCTGTCCCATCCCATGAAATTGCTTTCCAGATGCCCTTCCTGACCTGGATCCACAAGTTGTGACCAGAGTTAAAATATTTGTTAGCCCCTCTTTTACTGAACTAAGAGAAACTTATGGAAGAAAAACTCAGTAATTCATTTTTTTTTTCCTTTACTTGACCCCACTATCCAGACACAGTGTCCAGGGTTATCCTGGATTCAGGTTGAACTCACACTAAGCTAGAGAAGGGTCTCTGTTGCAGACTCTCACCTGGAGGCCCAGACTTGCCCCAAATACCTCTGTGGATGCTCTGAGCAGGGGAGGAGTCAGACTTTCTTCTTCCCAAGTCTACAATCTACCTCAGAATAAAGTTATTTGGGTTGAACTAACTTTTAGGAACAGAAGCTTCACTGAGAAATCTATATGACTTCAAGGAACTTCAGGAGTTGGGGGTGGGGGTGTGTTAGGGGGAGTATTGTGGTTTAAGAAACCCTTGGGAAGAGTTGAAATATCACCAGTGAGAGTTTCAGAGATTAAATCTGGGAGAGCCAAAGGGACTGCAGTTGACCAGACAAATCAATAAAGGTTATCTCCTTTCCAGCCTTTTGGGAAACTCCATTCTATGTGATTTTCTGTAATTAGAAAGCAAGAAAAGACATACCTGACTTATTTTTAGTGGATTGTGAGCCATCCTTACTTTTAAAATCCAGATAACCTGAACACAGCTGGTCATGAGTTGCGTGAGCACTTCTGAGTTGTGGAGAACTGTATCCACTGTGCAAGACAGTCAGGTTAGCAAGTATCTCCCACAGTCAGACATTTTTAACAGCCCTTCAATGGCTAGCAATTTCCTGTTTAGTTGTTTTCTTTATAGAAAGAAGAGTTTGGGTGAAGTTGCAGGGAAGAGAAGAAGACAAAGAACTGACATTTATCAAAGGAATGTGTATTGCTTTACTGGCATCCTCTAATACAGCTATAAATTTACTTTATTAATCTGCTCAAGGTAGTAATTATTTGCCCTTGTTGATATAACATTATTAGTTAAAACATTTATATATGACTTTTTATATTCTTCTTCACTCCACAGTGGGAATCTGATCTAGAACCTTGTAGAATTCCAAAGGGGTGGAGGTGGGGGGAAATTGTATGGAGGGAGTGGAAATTGTAGAGGAGACTGCATGGAACCCTGAGGGCAGAGCAAAGCCTGGGAAGCCACTTCTGATCTATTCTGGAGTTTTCTAGAAGGCTCTCTGGAGAAAGGCAGCTCATAGTTAGGGTTGTAGGAGCGCAACATGCAGGGTGAACAGGATCGAGGAGAAATTCAGAGCATCTACTTGTTATAGTTAGTCTTAGTAGGGCAGTATGAGGAGGGAAATTTGAGTAAGAATCAACCTTTAAGTGCCTGGGCTTAGAGATGACTTTCTTCTCTAAAAACAAACTTATATTTGTCTCCTGGAGTAGAGAATACTTCTTAAACACTTCACAAACCAGGGCATGCTTCCTGCAATGAAAGGCTGGTCCAAAACAGAGCGCTACTATTTTTCACAGTAAATGCTGATTCCGAGGTCAGGATCAGGCCGGCGGCTGCCTCAGCAACCAGCAGCCAGGTCCCCAAGCTCCACCTCCTCCAGCAGTTCCGTAGGATTGGAAAGAACATCGGTCGGAACCCGCCGCCGGGTACCATAAGCATCTTTCCGAAGTTGTCTGAAAAGTAACCCTGCGAGGAAGCCAAAGAGTTAGCCCCAAACCTAGGCGCTCGCTGGCTGGCTCACTCGCTCAAGTTGTTTTCAAGGTGGAGAAGCCGGCATCCTGCCAATGGCGCCATCAGCCTAACCTCCGAGACGCTAACACTTTCCCGAATTCCTAAGGGTGACGACCCTTTCACTTGTTGACCAAAGGAGACCCAAATTGTTAGACGCCCCACATCTCTGGCCTGCCCTTA